TCACCTGGGAAGCTTCTACCTGTGGTCAGGATGTGGCTTTTCTCTTTTGTTCTGAATGACCTGGATGGTGCTGTGTGGCTACTTTTTCCTCCCATAGCGCCAGCCTTTATGTTATAATCCCTGTTTCCAAGTTCTAAGACTGCTAATACTGCACATTCTCATAGATGATTTATTAGTCTCTTTAGGAAGGTATATTTCTGCAAGGATCATGTCATTTGCAAGACATATGGCAGAAGGGAGCTTTAGTTAAGGCATGGTGAACTAAATTACATCAGGTTTTGCTTTGGCAAGGACACCAGATGGATGCCTTTATGATGAAGTGGGTCTCCTCCAGCCTTTTCTTTTACGAAGGTCTCCAACAGGTGTTTCCTCTGAGGCATATCTGTTTTCCATAACATCAGAAGGAAAAAAGAAATGAATGAAGAATGAAGAAAGCTGTCTGTGACAGCTTGTGTACATAGATCTTGCTTTTATTATGATAGGAAAGTGTATAGCGAATGATTTGCTATTCTGAGTCAAGTTAAAGTATGCTTGGGAGAAGAATATCTTCCATTTGCCAAAAGGGCATTTAATTTTCGGATTAAAGACTCTTCATTCATTATGGGTGGGATGGGGGGTGGGAGGGTTGAGGAGGAGAAGTGTGGAAAAGCTGAAGAAAGTGACCAGAAGTTAAAGTAGTGGCAGTTGTGTTAGACTTGAGTGCTGAGGGCAGTGTGTGGGAAGCCACCTCCCTAAAGGGAACTTGGTACATTATTTCAGCATCCGAGGGAAGGTGTTTAGGAAACTACACATGGAGAGAAAATAAGGTTCTATGAATGAGTAGTAACATAGTCAGTTCTCCAAATTCTGATAAGCATCAAAACCAGACTTGGGCTCTAGCTGTGTTGCCTTTAACAACCTTGGCATAAAGCCATCACCATGGTTCTGTCTGGTACCATTAAGAGAACCTGTGTGGGGAAGCCTGGGGAGGGAAGGGGGTAGGTGGAGGGGGTCAATGGGGAGAAAAGGGGGACATATGTAATACTTTCAAAAATAAAGATAAACTGAGAGAGAGAGAGAGAGAGAGAGAGAGAGAGAGAGAGAGAGAGAGAACGCCTGTGTGGCTCTTAGGATTCTGGGTTGGGGCTCATGACTTAGGGATATTTAAACCCACCAAAAGGTATGTTAATTCAAATGAACAAGGTAACCCATTCTGGTCAAGCTGACTTTGAGGCTTACATCACAACATCTTCGGGCTAGGTAAATGACTAGAAGGTTATAAGTAGGTCTTAAATGGAGGGGAAAATACGGATTGAACCTAGGCCTTGGATGGTCTCATTAACAATTAGCCTCTATACTTTTCCAAACCCTTTGGCAGTGGCCCAATCCTCCCCCTCCAGCTTCTCCATCTGGGTCTTCTCTCTGTCCAATCACTTTAGGTCTGATGCCTCAATCTCAGTTTACCTGAGTTATTTTGTCTGAAAGAAATATGACTTAAGATAGCAATTTAGAAACTAACCTGGTAAAAAGAGAAAATAAATGGCTTGTCATTATGTTGGAGTCTGAGACTTTGGGCCAGGTGTTGAATTATAAGCTATATTAATTCACAGGGAGAACCCCTAACCCTTCAGCACAGAGAGAAATCGGTTGTATTGTTCCCAGGATGTACAGTAAAACCTCACAGGAGAATTCTGTCATAAGCTATTGATTACCAGGGCAGAACCTATAGCATAAGACAGTATAGTATATCTCAAAAGGGGTTTTAAGGGATAGTAAAAGATATTTTTAAATATAATGAAATAAGTGAGTACATAAGTAACTGTAAAAGATTTTTTGGTGAAATAAGTGTGTGAAATAAGTGTTTTTATACAAACTTTAAAGGATTTTACTTTTGCAAAGTTTTTCAGAACCTTCATATGCTAAAGTGTAGTGTGGATCTCAAAGAGGTGATACTTTACTCAAAATTTATTGGACTACAGAACACAGTTCCTTAGAGCTTCTCCTGTTACTGATATTCCACAGAACATGTTTTTTAGAAAAGGCATTTGTGTTAAGATAGGATGGACTTATGACGCTGTGGTAGCAATTAACGAAATCCCAGTGGCTTAGCACAACGAGTGTGTATTTCTTGTTCATGTTGCATGTCCAACACAGGTCAGGCAGACCAGGCACTCTCTTCCACATAGTCACTCGTGCACTCAGGCTGGTCATCTCTATGGCAGGTTAGGGAGAGCCTGAGAATACCATGGGGGCTTTCACTGTGTCGGCCATCACTTCTCACATTTCACTGGCCAAAACAGGTCATGTGGCCCCTTCCCAAGGCCTATATCCTAAGAAAGGAAAGAATTGGATATTGTGAGCCCCAGTAATCTTAACCTCAGCCTTATATTCAAACGCTAGCTTTATAATTTGTTAGCTCTGTGTCTTTTATCATAAGATAAAGGGTGTTCTTTAAAATCTCTGGCAGAGACGAAAATGCTCATCAAATATTTCAATTGCTTCCCACATTCCTAAACCCCCTTAAAGTTAGCAGGAGCCATGTGACTAGTTCTGGCCAATGAAATATGAGCAGCAGTGATGTATGCCGCTTTGGGCCACAGTGTAAATACCTCGGCTTGATTCTCTAGTTCCTTTCTCTTCCCTTGCTTTAATGACTGAGGAGGATATATGTGCCAAGTGTGTCGCCTTAAGATGGTAGAGCCTCAGTCCCCTTAAGACTCTGAATGGTTGTGGGGAGCAGACACATCTGTTCAACTGAGTTATTATATGTAAGAAATAACCAGTGTTGTATTATGCCCCTGGTATTTTGATGTCGTTTCTGCATACTATTCCTAGATTCTCTTGACTTAAATGGGTCCTTTTGAATACTAAATTTTCTGTGATTTTAAGAGTTTCATTTACTCTCTAACAAGCAAATATTCATTCGTTAGGATGTGAGTGAAATTTTTCAAAAGATTGTCTAACCCTTTTTAGTGATTGAATATTTTATATGATAAACATTGTGCCTAATGGCAGTATGGGGTGATCACATGGAGGGCTTTGCCAAGATCTAGATCAAGATTAGAGCAGAGTCTAGTCAAATGCGGGTCAGTGATGGAAGCTATAAATAATGCCAAATGCATTTAATCAGAAAGGATGTTTCAACAGAGACCCATAGGAAAGGCGTCAAAAGGAGAGGGGAGGAAAACTGACTAAGGAGAGAGATGCTACCCATGCCTTGATCTCACAGACTTTAAAATTTTATGTTCAAGTTCCCAAAACACCTCTCATGATTTCCCCTAAGTAATAGTATCATTATGATACTATTAGAGGCCCAGTGCACAAAATTCATGCATAAGAGGGTGTCCCTCAGCTTGGCCTGCACCCTCTCCAATCTGGGATCCCTTGTGGGGGGACATCCCTCTCACAATCCGGGACCGCTGGCTCCTAACCCTTCTTCCTGCCTGCCTGATCACCCCTAACCTCTCTGTCTGACTGCCTAACTGCCCCTAACTGCTTCTGCCTGCCTGCCTGATTGCCCCTAACCACCTCTGCCAGACTGCCTGATCACCCCTAAATGCTCCCCTGCCTGCCTGCTTATCCCCAACTGCTTTTTCCTGCTGGCCTGATTGCCCCTAACTGCCCTCCCCTATTGGACTGATTGCTCCCAACTGACCTCCCTGCCAGCCTGATCACCCCCAACTGCCCTCTTCTGCCAACCTGGTTGCCCCCAACGACCCTCTCTGCTGGCTTGATCTTGCCCCCAACGGCCCTCCCCTGCCAACCTAGTTGCCCCCAATGGCCCTCCCCTACAGGCCTGGTCACCCCCAACAGCCCTCCCCTGCTGGCTTGATCGCTCCTAACTGCCTCTGCCTTGGCCCCCACCACCATGGCTTTGTCCAGAAGGAAGTCAGACATCCGGAAGATGGCCGGTTGACCTGGTCTAATTAGCACATTACCCTTTTATTAGTATAGATAGATTACATAGGATAGGATTGCTTAAATGTGGGGAGGTGCGGAGCCTTTTTTAGCAGGAGAAGATGCTCTTGGCAGCCAAAAATACATAACCCCTATATCTGGACTGATAGCCAGCCATATGCACTATACTGCCAAGCCAGTTATTAAAAAATTGAACCACTTTCTTACATCTTAAACTAAGCAGCTGTTGCCCTTAAAACCCCTCCTCAGTCCCCACCTTAGGTTCTGCCTTTGCAGTTCACCCAGATTAGGTTCTGATTGGTTGGTTTCTATGCCTGTCAGTGTCAAAAGCTGCTCCTCCTAGGCAGCCATTGGTTCCTTGCAGGTAACTCAGATTTGGTTCTGATTGGCCGGTTTCAATGCCAGTCAGCGTCTCTGGGCCTATCTCCAGGCTTATCTTGGGGCCTGATCTGCAATCTCCATGGCAGCTGCTAATCAGGCCCTGACTCTCTCTCTGGGCCTGATCCAAAAGCCTCCACAGAGGCTGCAGATCAGGCCCTGACTCTCTCTCTCTCTAGGCCTAGCCAGCAGCCATGGTGACTGCGGATCAGGCCCACCTCTCTCTCTAGGCCTCTCTCCAGATCTGATCCACAGCCAGCTTGGCGGCAGTGAGGACGTTACACCTCTGGCCGGGCCCCAGGCTGGAGGCATAAGGACCCCTGTGGGCCACAGGGGCGGGACCAAGAGGTGCTCCATGCACTTCCTGGTGACCGTTTGGTCATTTTGGCCTTTTATTATGTAGATTGCTTAGGGGAAAATTAAGAGTAGAAATAACTACCTTCAAAGCATATATAAACTAAGGTAAAAGGACTGATGTGTCTGTTAAACACACAGAGATGCACGCACACACACATGCACACACCACAAAATCCTTGTGACTTTTGCCAAAAGTATATAGTAGGTCTTGAGCTATGATGTAGTCTGGTGTCCTGTTTTGGGGTGTCAGAGATCAGAGGTTATTCTTCACTTTGGGCTCAAGATTCTAATTAATTTCACCTCTTGGCCGTGTTTCACCAGAGTCCCATGTGGCCTCAGGCTAACTCTCCATTCTTCTTATTTAGGAGTTTACTCAATGAAGATTCTGACTATCTTGATAGCAGCGGCATGTTTTACTGGTGCAAAGCAACCCATTTGGAAAAGGTGATTCTGGTAGGTGATCTTGCACCAATTCTCAAGTAAAATATAGTTTCTCTTAGGGTGAATTATACCCTTCCAGTAGTTATAAGTACCTGCCTTTTCTCTTTGTAAACTATGAATTTTGGAGGAAAAACACATACTTCACCAGCCAGATGAATGGTTTGCAGGGCTACAGATGTGATATTTGACAAAGACTATATGTATAAAATCCTGGGATTTGAAACTATTAGATTCTTCAGCTACTTCTCCCCTTTAATAGTTTAACTGAGTCAGTTATTCAGAATAATGTTCTCCTAAAACTTCACTGTTTTGCTAGTAAATCTAATTAATTTAAATGCACAAGGAAACTCCTTATTTACAAGAACTCTGCAGTCTTTCCTTTTTATAAAATAACTAGAGGTCCAGTGCACTCTGGGGGTGGTCCCTCAGCCCCAGCTGCACCCTCTCACAGTCGGGGAGTCCTCAGGGGATGTCTGACTGATGGCTTGGGCCTGCTGCCCCCACCCACGGGCCTAAGCCATCAGTCGCACATCCTTAGTGCTGCCACGGAGGCAGGAGAGGCTCCTGCCACTGCCGCTGTGCTCACCAGCCAAGAGCCTGGCTTCTGGCTGAGCAGCGCTCCCCTGTGGGAGCACACTGACCACCAGGCAGCAGCTCCTGCATTGAGCATATGCCCTCTGTTGGTCAGTGCATGTCATAGCAACTAGTCGTTTTGCTGTTCAGTCGGTTTGCATATTAGCCTTTTATTATATAGGATAAACATTTTCCTAATCTATTGGTTTTAAAGTTTGAATTTTCTATAGTAGTTTTTCTTAAAGCTGGCTATATTTATATGTAACACATAAGCCAAGCATGCATCTCCTAGATGCCTGCCCCCTACAACTTGGGTGAATCCTCATAGATATTAGAATCCTGTCTCTGTCCTCTCAAGTTAATGAACTCTGCTCACTGAAATGCCAGCAACTAAAATGTAAAAAGCCTTGTATCCTAGTGCAGGCTCTGAAACCTGCTTTCTGGATCTCCATCTATTCTCATTTTTCAGAATTAGAAACTCAAGTATAATCTCAGTAGTTGGTAAATTTAACTAATAAAAGGGATTTGCTTACATGTTGTATGAACCCTATATAATATTTTCAACTATGATTAATTGACATTTATGCATTTTTTTGCTTTCTGAAAGTAGTTCAGTTTGCTTTTTTCCATTACACACACACACACACACACACACACTCCTTGTCCTAGTGTCCTGACATAATATATCTCAATTTTTGTAAAAGTATGATCAGTCATTTGATCAGAAGCACAAAATTGTTAGAGCTGTCATATCAGCAAGAAGATTATTAGGGTTACTAAAACTCACTATTTTAGCAATTAGGTCTTATTCTAAACCCAGCAAAATAAACACCTTTTGAACAGGCAGCCAAACATGTTTTCAATGGGAGGGAAATTTTTGGAAAGGTTGGGAAGTTGCTTGCAGATGGAGGTATCCAAGAGACCTAGAAACGGAAATAGAAGATGTTTTATCAGAATATACTTATGAAGCATGCAAACAGATTTATTTCTATGATAGCTATCTTCTTTAGGACACTTGGTGTGGAATATAGGTCAGAACACCAACTTGAGTCTTTGATAAATATAGAAGGGCTTCTACTTTAAGAAATTGTTAGGGTTTTGAAACTTGTGACCCTATAGGAGAGATGTCCAGATTGAAAAATCCAGGGAGTCTTTGAGCTAGGTTTAGTTTACAGAAGGGTCAAGTGGAAGTGGTTGCTTTAAGTTACTTTGAACAAATAGTGCATGCTTTCCTTCCCCCAAAAGCCACCAACTTTCTTAACCAGAAGACAGTTTTGTGCCACAGTTTCTTGGGGAAATTGCCTCTCTAGCTGTGCCTATTAATGCACTCTGCCATGTATCTTGTTTCTAATTGTTTAGTTTGACTTAGAAGAGCAATGGTTGAACTATAGACATGTTGCATTAAATACTGTTAGAAGTTTCATTATTCAAGTTAAAACTAATTGGTTTAGCTAGAGATGATTATTTAATAGATTTGGTTAAGATTGATATCACTCTTTAGGAAGACTTTCCAGATTAGTAGCTTGATTTCCCCTCATAGGGGGATTGCTTTTGGAAAGAGAGTATGTCTTATTATATGCTAATTTGACAGATTCTAATTGTTGAGATGTCAGTTGTTACTTATTTATCCTGTTAGATTTCATCAGCCCCTGTTTCATAGAAGCTTGTCATTTAACCCAGCTACGGACTGGCATGAGGGAGAATGGTATAGCTATTTGAAATATTCCGAGTCTTCAAGTGCTCAGGCATGTGAAACACACTAACACATGACATGCTTTTAAATACATTTAACTTGTCCATCATCTTCCAAAAGTCTTCCTCTGAAAATTTAGGAATTCCCCACGATTCACATTTGATCAATAATTATTGAACAACAGTTAATGAGTCGAACACTGTACTTTCAATATATAATTTAGTTTCTACAGCAGGATTAACTTCTATTTATTTTTAAACCACTTAAACTTAAAGTCAGAGAGATTAAGTACTCTGTTCATACTCATACCACTAATGGAAAAACCAAAATACCAAACCAGATCCAGGGCATGCTCAACTTCATCCCACCTCCATGAGAGTAGACCGTGTCTCATTTCCTGAAAGATATCACAGATGAATGCCATTTCTTTTTTAAAAAGTTATACTTATTACTTTTAAAAGTCTCTATGGATGTGAGGAAACTCTTATCTAAGTCTTCATCATGTATATTACTTTATTTTCAAATTAGAGCTATAGGAGAGATATTAATAGCTGGCAATGCCAATAATGGTATGAGACATATTCAAATGTTTGGGATCAAATGGAATTTTTATAGTTCCTAATTTCTTGTGCACTTCCCGTGAGTAATTTTCTCAACTCTGCAAAGAGTCTATTGAATCAGCTCAATTTTTATAAAAACATGATCAATCATTTCATCAAAAGCACAAGATTGTCAGAGCTGCCACATCAACTAGAGACTATTAGGATTGCCGAAACCCATCATGTTAGCAATAGTCTTATTCTAATCTAAGAAAAATTGTTATTACATTTAAATACTAGGTTGAACCATGTAAAATTGCTGATATTCAACCATTCTTGATTCATAAAAAGGGAATTTCTTATGGTTCAAACTAATATGTATTTTTATATGTATGAAAATCCACTGAAAACTGCAAGATGTTGGGCAACTTGATGTAATTTTCAGGGCTCACTGGAAGACATAAATTTAGCAAAGGAATTTGGAATGTTTTAGTTTATCATTGAATCTTATTAAAGCACATACAAGGCTAAACACATATAATGAAAATAAGATATTTTCCCCATTTGATTCAGTGATTTCACATTGAACTGAGGAATGATGCTGCTCTCAGTTTAATTGATGCACTCTAGGCTAATAGAAAACTTAAAAGGGGGAAATAAGAAGGAACGCCACAAAAAGATCAAAGTATACTTGTCCCACCGTGAATAAGTTCCATTTTTTATGAGCTGTTTGCAAAATTCTGTTACCCTTATGAGGTACTCCTGTGGATGGACCTCAAAGGCTTTGGGTGAGGGGATGGAACCCTCTTCGTTGTTTCTAAAAATGACTACATTCTGACATGCTTATGCTTAGAAACGAACTGACAAGTCAAAACTTGAGTTTCGGAACCACATTGTGGCTTGTATCTTTGGAGATGCCCACTCAACACTGATGGGGCTTCAGAATTTTGTAATGCCCTTGAGAGCTAGCAACTATCCTCGGCAGGAGCTGAAGGACATTGTGTTCATCGGGTCTCTGGAATACCTGCAGAGAGAATGGCGATTTCTCCGGAATTTTCCCCAGATTTACGTTTTGCCTGTAAGTATCATATAAGGGCTAGTAAATATTTAGAATGGTAATAAATAGTACTACTACTGCTAGCTTGCAGTCATATGGTGGTACCAGAAACTGTTCTATGCATTTTACATATATTAACTCATTTAACCCTCAAAATACCTCTCTGAGAGAGATTTTTTTTAAAGATATTGACCTTTAGGCAGGGAGAAAGTAATTAACCTGTCCAAGTGGTAGGACTAGGATTTAAATTCAGACATTATGCCACAGAGCCACCATGCTTAATGTTGATAACCATGTTTTATAGTCTTTATATAAATAAGAGTTTCTCTGCATTTCTGAGCCTGATTCTGAGTTAATGGCTAAATCCAAGCTGATAGTGGCCAGTCTTTATGCTCTAACTTTCTCATCCTTTCTGGAGACACATCTTTTCTAGAACATGTAATGCCACATGGTCCCTGATAGATATATGAAAAGGAGGAATTAGATTTACATTTCTGAGAAATAGGTCAGTTATGCATGTGGTATTATGGTTATAATTGTATTTACTCTGAACCCTCATAGGTCTGTATCCTATTATATGCAACTATTTCTTTGGATTTAAAGAAAATACATTATATGTCGCATGAAATGCACCAAAGTATTTGATTTTTATGCAAGAATGCTGGTGATGTTTAAGGAATATTTTTCAAACTTCAAAAATTGTTCTCCCAAGAATTTCATTTGTTGTTTTTTATTAAAGTCACCATAGGTTTCTCCTCACCATCCCCTTAGATTAGTTCAAAGAAAGGAAAAAAGACAATGATCAGAATTCTTCCAATCCAACTAATATTAGAAATTACCAATATTTGAGTCCAAGGTACCTGAAGGTGGGGTCAGATCTATTCCTATTTTTTTCATCAATGAAAAAAAGTAACCATCATTTTGCTAGTTAATCTGGAACTGGCAAGTGGGGTCAGCTACAAGTGAAATTGTGAAGATAGAAATTTGCCTTTTGATCCATAACTTCTCCTTTTTCTGTTTGTTTGTTTGTTTTTCCTTCACTACTGTTTCCCTTCTTCATTTCTCTTCTCCCAATTGAGTCATTTAAATGGATTTAGGCTCCCCACTCTCTACCCTCCTTTGTCTCATCCCGATTAAGATATTAATGATTGGTAAGGCTAAATATGTCATATACCAGGTAATGTGTCAGATACTTGTCTTAAAACCAAGTCGTTGGAAGCTGAAGAGTTGTTGGCTCAAAAATTATCACCCAGAAAGATCCACAACTGTGAGCCATGATATAAAATCTGTCCATCTGAGTGGTTCATCCTCTGCCCCATTTCTCTCATTAGGGCTCTGCACTCTATACTGCAGACCTCCATGCAGTCAACATAGAGGAATGTTCCATGTGTGCTGTCTTATCCTCCCCACCCATGGCATCTCCCCAGACTTTAGTAGACTCACAGATCATCATGGCCACCCTCAACATAGGATCACTGCGGATAAGCTGCTCTGCCCCGACACCCTCAGAGGCAGGTAAGAACAACGCCCTGACAAGAAGAGGTTAGGGAGATGGAATAAGGAAAGAGCATTAACTTCTCTCTGAAGTGCTTTAACCATGGGGAGGAAGAGTGGACAATTTAGTCCTTGGGAATCCTAAGTCAACTGAAAAATGATACCCATCTTCTACATGGAATGCATGTAGCACTTTTCCCATTTTAAGTAAGATCACAGAATTGCAAGTACTAACATTATTACTAATCAAATATCAGAGAAGATAGAACTTGGCATATTATTATAATGAATAGTAAGAATTATTATCATCAATGAAATTCTCATTGGATCTTGTAGATGTTCTAGTTATTATTTTTAGTTTCACGGTGGAGAGAATGAAGTATAATTCTCTTTTGCTCTTTGAGATGCTTTCAATACATGAATTTTAGAATATTATCTCTAAGGTGAGATCTCTTCCAACTTCTGTAGAATAAAAATGTCACAATCCAACTTCAAAGTGGAATGAGATGGTGAGAAGAGAAGATCTCTCCAGGATGGGAATTAGGTCTTTTCCTCCTTTGTGTTCCTCTCAGTACCTAGCACAGTTGTGGTCACTTAGGAGATGCTTAACACACTTATTGAATTGAAGCAAATGAGCCAGTGAACTGGACTCTTGAGTAGTTTCCACACATTTTTTGTGCCCAAGATATGCTTGACATAAGTTCCCACTACAAAATTGTGGTTTTCCTCCCTGTTTCCCCGTCCCAACCCCCAGAAAAAGCTTATATATTAGTCTATTTCTAAAAATTGACTACTGCCACTGAACCTAATATGAAAGCCCTCTTACTGAAAAATTTTCTGTATCTAAAGCAGATTTTCAATTCAAGTAAATCATGATTGGAGTTCTCTGGATCCAGCATTTCCCTTAGGGGTGTCAAGCCTCTGTGTCAAGGTTGGGTACTCGTCCTCTGGACTCATAGCTGCCAACTATAGCTCTTCCACTTTTCATAGAACTTGGAGAGGTCAGGCATCTAAAGCATCATGAGGCTTTCATAATTACGTATGTGAATAAAAATCTTCATGAGTCAAACTGGGAATCCAAAAGAACTCTGTCTGACTCCTAGGCACTGTTGCTAGGTGGGAAAATATAACATACTTAGGGCAAAGGAATAAACAAGTAATCTAGTCTAATCTTCTCTAGGTGAACTAAGTTAGCTGTGTGACACACCCTCACTAAGCAACCAAACTCCACTCAGGTCTCAGGGTTTTGGGTTCTTTTGCAAAGAAGAGTGAAAAGCAAAGCACTTCATAATGTCAACGTACACTGAAAATCAGGACTAAGGAAGTGTGAGCCATACCTCTGCTAAGGAAATCTGAAGATCCATAAAATGCTGCTGTGTGCTGCACATAAATCCTTAGCTCAGCCATTAGGGTCACTTAGATTTACCCAATATTTGTGTGTGGTATGGGTGTGAGTATGGTGTGGGGAGGGCTGTGGAAGGTGAATGTGTAGGAAGTGTGAGTATATGCATGTGTGGGTGCCTGTGTGCATCATCTTGCAACATTCTATAATTGGGCAGAGAAGTGTTCATTTTAAGGGCAGTATCATCAATATACAAATGAAACTGCCTACTCAATGAAAGCATGGGATAAACTGAACATCATAAGCCACCTAATTAATCATCTGGGTGACTTGTCCTTCTTATTATTTTTTTAATTTTACATCCTATATAAGCTAGAAAGATATAAGCCTATAATTTCAAGTCTGATTTCCTTTTTATCTAGTGATTTTCATCCTCTCACTAACCCAACAAAAATATTTTGATTCTGTATGATGTGTCTAACCTAGTACAGTCTAGAAGGTTGCCCTTGAAGCAGCAACTTGCTGGATTGGTAGAAGGAGGTAGAGGAGAGGGATAAGGGACTGGAAAGGAGGAAGAGAAAATAAAGGAACATCAAAGCACAAGGGTGGGCAACAGTAGATTTACAATTGTGAGTATGCAGAACACAGTTTGTCTCTGTATTATTATTTATTAACCATTGTATTAGTTAGTTGTATAACAAGTATCAACCTACTTTTGCCTACCCCTTACTTGTTCCATCATGAAACATGGATAGGTTCTTCCCCAAAGATAAAAGGGAAAGTTTAGAGAAAAATTATTCTGTAGGCCTAGTACCATTTCTTTAATGGGTGTCATACATACTTGTATGATGGGGAAATATAACTGCAGGAAGCTCTACTGGGCTACCTAACAGAAGTCATCTAATCTGCTTATCTGGTGCTATAGCATCAGTCAAGTCACATTCTGAGCATGTGTAAATAGCAAAGGACCACTACTCAGAAACCTCACCAATTACTCTAGCATTATAGGAATCTACCTGAAGTTTATATATAGGCATCCCAATCCACAGAGAAGCCTGGTAATATCTGCTTGCACCATAAGAGGTAGAAATGGGACCACCCACCTCTCTGAGAGTCGACAGTGTAAAGCAGCGGTTCTCAACCTGTGGGTCGCTACCCCTTTAGGGGTCAAACAACCCTTTTACTTGGGTCGCCTAAGACCATCAGAAAACACATATATAATTACATATTGTTTTTGTGATTAATCACTATTCTTTAATTATGTTCAATTTGTAACAGTGAAATTGGGGGTCACCACAACATGAGGAACTGTATTAAAGGGTCGCGGCATTAGGAAGGTTGAGAACCACTGGTGTAAAGGATTTTGAAATTCTGTAAGGAGGCAGAAAATGTCTCCCCAGCAGATCATCAACATAAGACGAGTTGATGGGCAGTTTTCTTTCTCTTTCTCTAGGACTGTGGTTCTCAACAAGGGGCAGTTTTGCCCCCCCCCCCCCCCCCCCCCCGGCAGTCATCTGACAATGTCTGTAGACAGTTTTGTTTTGTCACAACTTGGAGAAATGCTATTGGCATCTAGTGGGTTGAGGTCAGAGATGCTGCTGAACATCCTACAATGCACATGATGACCTTACATGACAAATACCTTTTTGGCTCAAAATCTCAATAGTAATGAGATCTGAAATTTCACCCTAGTATATCTGATGAGCCTTTTCTGGGGTCAGTGGTCCTTTCTCCATCTTCACAATCATGATAAACTTGTACATGAAGCCCATCTAGGACCACAGTGCTACCCCATGCAGTGATTCTCCCAGGGATGTTGAGGGTGTGGGGACAGCAGAGGGCAGAATCTTGGAAGGATTAGTAAGAATACCGGGCCTCCTGGCCATCTCCATGGAAAGCTGTAGGTTTTCCAGTGATGCTCTAATTGCTGCCCTGTCACATCACAAGAAGAACAGGTTGGCAAACCTAGGTACTGAACTAAATAATCTGTGGCATAATCTAAACATATAATGGTAATTAAGTCTGACAACTTAATATGCTACTGAAATTTAAATGTACTGTAGTAATCTACAATTAAGCACTCTTTTGTAATAGTAGCCTGCCAGCCAGGAAGATTTCAGGTATAATGCTGTGTATTATGAGCTCCCGGAAATATTGACATTGGTACAATGCACCCAGGCTATGATCTGACACATATTCCAATTAACCATTGCTCCACAAGAGGAAATGGAGCTAAGGTGGTTGCTGTCCTTCAGATGGTGTCAAAAGCAGACACTCAGCCAACCCAACATGAACACATCTGTATCCAATAAGGACACTTAACTTCGAAAGTCAAGAGGATCCAAACCCTTTTCTAGAGGGAACTGGAATCAGAAAGTGGGGTTCAAAGGAAGACTGCCCCTTTGAGGGAAACTGGCCTCAATATTTTACTGGACATGTCAGCCAAACCCTGAATATTTTATTAGGGCTACAAAGTGGCCCTTAAAAGGACCTAGGCTTTGAAGTTGGTGCCGATTGGGGTATGAAAAACCATCCATCATTTACAGGTCATTTAACCTTGGGCAAGCTATGTAAACCCTGAGTCGGTTTCTTCAAATGTGATCTAACTATATTGATTCACAGATTTGTTGTGAGCCTGGTATAATTCTTATCTCCTTATAGCTTGTACTGCTCACAGCAGCCAGAGGGACCTTTTACAGGTATTTATCAGATCATGTCAGTTCCTTGCTTAAAACCCCATAGTGATAACCCATGGCAATTATAGGAAAATAGGGTCTTGCAGGCCTGAAGGGAGTTTGAATTTTCTCCCACTTCATTCTGTCTGTACTGGCTCTTTCCTGCCTCAGGTCCCTTTTCCCATTACCTCTGCCTGGATGGCTTTTTCTCATCTCTCAGGACTCCATTCCAAGTAAGAGAAGCCTCTCTTCAAACCCCATCTAAAATCATCTCTGCCACTCAATCACTAGCCCCCTCAGTTGTGTTTTGTTTTTGTTTTCACAGTATGTATCACTACTTGAAAATACATATTTTGTATTTGCAACACGTGGCATGTAACTGGGGCAGGGATTCCACAGTCCTAGGTGCAATAGATACTCTTAAAATCTGTAGAAGGAAAAATGGAAAGGAGGGTAAGGAACACCCAGCAAATAAAGCATCTGAACAGTCTGAGAATAAGGCAGAATCTCAGTTCCCCCAGGACTTCCTGTCATGGAAATCCCAGAGGTATTTGTTTTTTTAAGAAAAACAGTTTAAGGTGTTCAGATTCATCACAACTAAGATTCACTGGTGAATTAGGACATCTGAGCTCTAGCTATCGATGTTAACCTTGCTTTTTTGAGATTTATAACATAAGTTTCAGGTGTACAACATCATTTGATATCCATGCTCACCACCAAAAGTCCGTTTCTGTTTCTCACCATCTATTTTACCCCTTTTACCCATCTCACACTTCCCCTACTGGTGACCACCAATCTGTTGTCTGTGTCTGAGAGTTTATTTTGGTTTTATTTGTCCATTTGTTTCTCTGTTGTTGTTGTTTTTAGATTTTTCTGTTTTAGATTCTACATATGAGTAGAATCATATGATTTGTGTCCTTTTCCATCTGACTTATTTCACTTAGCAAAATATCCTCCGGTCCAACCTTCCTCCTAAACAGCTGTGTGAACCATGTTAGCCCTCGGGGCTTCCATTTCCTCACCTGCATTCCCAAGGTCACCACCAATGCTGACTGTACCCAAGTGTGTTGGGCTCTTCCTGTGCAGCTTCAGTTTTTACCCCAAATCCTCCTTGTAGCATGACTCGGAATTTCAGTGGCTATTAGAAACATATTCACCTCTACTTTCAATTAACAAGAAGTGGCCATTTTACTGAGTATTTCCTGGGGGAGGTGGAACAGGTGGTAAATACTGCAGAATATAGCTTTTTTTTCTGACAGAAATCTCCCCTTGGGTTTTCTCTTTTCCCCTGTCCCATCACCCCCCTTTTATCTGCCCCTCAGGCTGTCTTACCTAACCTGATCACTTCATTTCACATCTCACTCTCCCCACCTATCACTTCCCTGGCTCAGTAAACAGAGGACCTCCAAATATTTCACCTTCTTCCTAGGAAGCAGGGGATTTTAATTAAAAGCAGAGTTTTAACTTTCACAGTATTTTTGCATTCTCAGAAAAGTTACAAAAGGTAGCCAACAGTTTTAAAACATAACTTCTGATGAGATAATTGTGTGCTTATTTTTTAAACTGGTCCCCAGCTTCCTTTTTCTTTCTTTACTTTTTTTTAGTTTAGTTTAACTTGGGGACCAAAACGCTAGTGTTGAAACTCTTCATAGTCCACTGCCTGATAAGGCTGTTTGGGGCCAGTGCTGTGCATCGGCTCTTTCAGAGTCAGGGCTCACAGAGGAAAACGAAGGGACTCACCTCCTGATCCAGGAGGGAAATCTGTCTGTAAACTGAACACAAAGGGCAAAGATGACAAGTGGCAACCCAACCCCAGTCTTTAAGGAATTCCCAAGGCATTCTAGGCTGCAAGAGGCCAACCAGAGACAGGAGGCAGCCAGTTCTGCTGAAGAAAGAAAGAAGATGTGAATAGTGTCTGGACCCAGAGAAGCTCTCAAAGAGGCAGTAGACCAGCAGCCGAAACCACTTGCAGTGTTACCAAGTGCACGCACAGAGCAGCACTGCCTGCGTATTCATACTTTCCTAGCAGTCCTACAAGCAAATGCATGTGGTTAAAGGTACAGCCTGTCTGAGCCATTACCCACACTGTGGAGAACAATCATATTTTACTTACGTTATCAATAAGCAAATACTGGTAAAGCTCACTTACACACACACACACACACACACACACACACACACAGGTCCCAAAACTAGATGCCAAGGACGCCCAAATATTCTATTTCTCTAAATATAGAAAAGGATTTGGGATTTGGGATTTAGGCCTGAGTGGACTTTGCGAAGCACTAAGTTGCAGAGTATCTTTCTCCATCCCTGTTGTGTTTTTTGCATTTATCAATCTCTTTTGTTTTCTGTTGTCCTCTGTATCTACAGATGAAGTTTCACACTGCCTCAGAGAATCTGGGAAGTCATGTTGCCGAAGAATCCCCATCCTCACTGAATTGAGTAAGTCCTGTTTCAAGGAAAATACAAGGGAGAAACCTATTTGATCCAGAATTGATGTCCCAGTGTTCTTTTTAAAATCTACAGTCCAAGGACTGAAGAAGCAGAATGGGGCCCAAGAGTATTAAGTGTTTGATGGGACATTACACTGGCCTTTTTTTTTTCTGGGTTGGTGACATGACCCCGCAGAGCCTGCTGCATTTGGGTATCAGGATGCAGGAATACCATCTGCGTTTCCCATTCCCAGTTCCCAGGAGAGGGAGACCAGCAGCTGGCTCACTCTTATTCAGAAGGAATCTCCCATGGGAGGGACATGAATTTGAAGACTGACAAAAGGGATCTTTCTATACCAACCTATCTACCTGCCTGGGACTTTAAGTCAGTCACCTTCCTTTACTATAGTGATACCAGGGCCAGCACTAGGAGGTACCAAGATGCAGACTAAAAGGTGACGTTCACTCTCAGAGTCCTTCAATTTTGTGTCCCTTGTGTCATCTTAACTCCAGTCCTGAGTGGTGGTCTTCTAAAAAGGGAATACTAGGTGCAGAAATATCAGAATAAGCTGTTATCTCTCACCAACACCTTATGGAAAATGCACATTAGGAAATGTTCCTGGATGTGAGGACCCCTGGAAGCAGAAAGCAGGGTAGGGAAGGTGCCCTTGTACTTTGGGGCAGGAGGGGTTGGGAGGCACTAGGGCAGTGGTTCTCAACCTTCTGGCCCTTTAAATATAGTTCCTCATGTTGTGACCCAACCATAAAATTATTTTCGTTGCTACTTCATAACTGTAATGTTGCTACTGTTACGAATCGTAATGTAAATATCTGATATGCAGGATGGTCTTAGGTGACCCCTGTGAAAGGGTTGTTCGACTGCCAAAGGGGTCGTGACCCACAGGTCGAGAACCACTGCACTAGGGGATTAATACTGGTAATAACTGATGAGAGAAGGGCGAGATGCCAAAGAGGGGAACAGTGTCTTTCACACATATTAGACCAACTCAAAGGCAATTCATTAGCTGGTCCTGGGCATGCGATTTGACTGGATTCTATTGTATAGCAACATCCTTAATGAGACTTACACCAAACTGGATAAACAAACCTCTTGGTCCCAGGAAGGAAGCAGGGGACATAGAGAGGAATCATAGGCGACACCACCATGTGACCTGGGAGTGACAGTGCAGCAGAAGGGAAATAGTCCATTCACAGTGAATCCTGGAGCAGCAGCTCTTCAAATTCAGCTCTCTCACTTTTTAAAAATCTATGTTTTTGTTGATTTTAGGGAGAGGAAAGGAGAGGGAAAGCTCAACATCCATTGCTTGCCTACTGTATGCCACCTGCTGGGGGTTGAGCCTACAACCCAGATATTATGTGCCTGAGTAGGAATCAAACCAGGAACCTCTTGGTCCATGGGACTATGCTCAACCACTGAGCCATACCAGCCAGGCAGGATCTCAACTTTCTTGAGCCTGACTGGCACCAGCCAGCCTATTTGTTTAAGCCAGTGGTCGGCAAACTGCGGCTCTCGAGCCACATGTGGCTCTTAGGCCCCTGGAGTGTGGCTCTTCCACAAAATACCCTTCAGGTGCGCATGTACAGTGTGATTGAAACTTTGTGGCCCATGTGCAGAAGTCGGTATTTTGTGGAAGAGCCACACTCAAAGGGCCAAAGAGCCGCATGTGGCTTGTGAGCCACAGTTTGCCGACCACTGGTAAGCTGTTAGCTCCAGGTTTTTATTTTATTTTATTTTTATTTTTTAAATCCTCACATAAGGATATTTTTCCATTGACTTTTAGAGAATGAAAGGCAGAGACAGAGGGAGAGAGAGAAACATTGACATGAAAGAGATACATCAATTGGTTGCCTCCTGCATGGGCTTTACCAAGCCTGTGAATCCAGCCTGCAACTCAGGTATGTGCCCTTGACCAGAATCAAACCTACAGGCTGACATTCTATCCACTGAGTCAAACCAGCTAGGGCTTAATTTTATTTTTCTACCCTTTTGAACCATCTCTAACCCTGAGGTGCAGCCACACTAAGGATACTGATTAGAAGACTACAATGTAAATTAGAGTGGCTGGGAGGGAACCCGACAGGTGCTCACTGGCCCAGAGTGCATCTGGTCACTCCCGAGGGACTTGCAGCTTTGTTCAACTGAAGACTTTCTGGCACCAGGCGGCCCTTGTCAGATTAGCTTAACAAATCACCTGCCAGCTCACTGTTTTTTGTTCTTTGGCCGTCTGGAGAGGGTCACAGTGACATGGGAGCCACAGATCCGACTGCCAGCACTTAGATACAGAATGTACAGTGGCCTGCAGGAAAATGCCTGGGAAAGCTGAGGCCCTGGGTTTAGCATGACACAGCAGGATTTGGACAAGGACTCCTGGGATGGGGTGTGTGTGTGTGTGTGTGTGTGTGTGTGTGTGTGTGTGTGTTGAAGGTTGGCAATGCAAGAAGAGGAAATTGTGTGTGCTTAGGAATTGTGTGTTGGCACTAGTCAGACCTTGCTCTTTTATAAAACTATATCGTTCTTCAAAGAAAATGATTCACTAATATTAGCAGTATATCACTTCTCCCAAACTTACTAAGGAGTATTTTAAAGAATTAGGGAACAATCCAGTCTCAGGAATGTATTTTGAGTGGTATGCCCAGTAGATTTGTGTTGATCTGTTTATCACTGATGAGAGCTGGGAAAGGTCTAAGAGAGTTTAAGCTACTTTCAAACTAACAAGTTAACCTGCCACAGTTTCATAGATGCTGGCAGAAGACACAAAACCACTGAGTCAGAGACACAAAATAGTTACTCAGAATGACAGCAGTAGCCTCAACAATTTTGTGCTGGTTATCCATTCTCACCAGGTGACATGAAAAGAGCCAAGTGATACCTGTACCACCTTTATAAGAGAGGAACTGAACTCTTTCATAATGAACACTGAGCATGCCTTCTCTTTACTCTGGTGGGAGACATCATCTCTATCTTTCAATGCTATTCTCAGCGCAAACATTTTTAAAGCAGTAGACTTAGAACAAAGGCCTTCGGTGCCTCTGCTGGCACTCTAGCAAGGACCTGTTCTATTACTTCAGAGGCTGATCACTGGGGTCTGAGGCCCAGCCCCTGGCCAGAAAAGATATGCTAATGGGTAACATGGCTACTGCTGCACTGGCCTCAATTAGGATATTTTTTCTGAGCCCTTGCTACTCAAAGTGTAATGCATGGATCAGCAGGAATAGCAGCAGTAGCATTTGGAAGCTTGTTGGACATGTAGACTCTCAGGCCCCATCCTAGAATCACTGAATCAGAATCTGTATTGTAACAAGATCCCCAGGTGATTAATATGTGCATTAAATTTTGACAGGCACTGCTTTAACTCATTCTGGACCCAGATAATCTAGGAACCCAAGTAAACACCAAGCCTCCTGCAGCATAGAATTGTGACAAGGAATACAACTGGAGTGGCCATATGCTCCTAGTTATGCCTAGTGAGACTGCCCCCTTTTACTTCTAAAGTGTCCTAGTTTGAAAGATAAATTATATGAGGGTGACAGTCTGGACACTTGCCTGGAGAAAATGAGCCTGAGGTACAAGGATATACCCTTAATGATGAAGGTGCCCAAGAGGGATTCATATCTTTAAGGGATGAAGAAGATGCTGGGAAAGAAAACATGTCCTGAAGTAGGGGCAGGTCCCACATTGATGCCAAAGCAGGCATCGGACCCTTTCATCAAATGGTCACACCTTGGTCTGCATATATTCTTAAGGCAATTCCTGTATTCTTAAACTTGTCTGCCTGTCTTTCACTATTTGCCTCTTTTGCCTTGCAGAAAATCCTTCCAACATCCACTTTATTGAACAGCTTGGTGGAATGGAAGGGCACCTCCCAGGAACAAGCCTGCATCTCAGCACCTCCTTTTCCACGGGCTCAGTCTTTTCTGGCAGCTTCTTGGATTCCCTCCTGGCCACAGTAAGTGCAGCTAAGCTGAAGAGCCCCCAGGGCCAAGTCCCTGGCCCAGAAGAGAGTGGATGCTTAGGGCCTGGGTAGATGAGGATAATGTCTCACAATTCTAAAGTCTCTTTGACTTTTCAAAAATGCTTGTTCACATATAGTATTTCATCTTTTCTCACAACCACCCGGCAAAGACAGCAAAATCTTTACATTTCCAAGATTAAAAACGCAAGAGCGGGAACACTGAATACCAGGGGGAATGAGTGGGTCTGCAGTGTGTCTGCCTTTCAGCTTCCAGTGCCTCGGCCCTTTGGTGTCAGAGCTAAAGAGATGCTGTTTTCTCTTCTCTTTAAAATATCCCCAATGCTCATGTGGAAACCATCCATAAAGGGGTTCGGAGTTCAAGGCAAAGCTTTGGCCTTTGGTGGTGTGAGTCTTGTTCAGAGCTAAGTCAGATCTCCCTCTCCACTACCCTTCCCTTGGAGTGGATTTTGGACTACATGGTTGCTCTTCAGCTCTCAGCACCTCTTTAGCCACCAAGCAGATCTGTTGCATCTATTCCAGGATTTCCATAGTAGAATGAATCTATTGTGCAAATATGTATTGAATAGCTACTCTAGGACACTGCTCTAGGTTCTGGGGACCAGCAGTGATTAAACACGCTGGAGTCTCTTCCGGTGTGGAGCTAATAAATCCTTGATGAAGTATGGCTCAACAAGACAAGCACACAATACTATTTAGAGCTCCAGCCCCAAGTCTCTGGCCATGATGAGCTGAACTAGACCTTTGAAAATATTCAGAGAACCCTGTCCATACTTGCCTGCCTTCCCCCTGGACCTGGTACTGCTGGCTCAACTTGGCCTTCTAAGATGACTTCCTGTCATTCAGCCACATAGAAAGAAAGAACCCAAAGGTCAGGCCTGTGCCTCCAATTCCATCGTGTCTGCTCTTCTGAGGACCTTTTGATCTTGGTCAGACTCCTGACTTTATACCTGCTTGGTAGCCTCAAAGAGGAAGAGAAAATTTATGCTCTTGCATTAGAAACAGTTGGGGTCACTGTGGTAGCTCCAGATATATTCTCCAACACCCCATTTTGTTCTCCATAGATATCAGAGCATCTCCTTGCAGAGAGTGTGGGAGAAAGGCAAAGATCTGGATCTCCCCTTAAGTGAGGATGACAATTAAGGGACCAAAGTCTGTCATTCCTTCTAGCACAGCAGTCGCCAACTGGTGGTCCGTGGTGACACGCAAACTCATTTTTTTGGTTGATTTTTCTTTGTTAAATGGCATTTAAATATATAAATAAATATCAAAAATATAAGTCTTTGTTTTACTATGGTTGAAAATATCAAAAAATTTCTATATGTGACACAGCACCAGAGTTAAGTTAGGGTTTTTCAAAATGCTGACACGCCGAGCTCAAAAGGTTCGCCATCACTGTCCTAGAGCCTGTGACACCAGGATAACCCTGGAATTTACTCCTTTCTTTAATCAGTGGGGAATTATTCTAACAGCATTATTTGATCACTCTACACTATGGTCACTTGTTCTTAAATGGATTGTGGCTCAACCTGGATTTACATCCTCTGCTCCCTTCTGGATCTCAGGTAGCCAGTTAACAAGCAGACTTCTGGGTGTGAGCCAGATGGAACAGAGGAGAAATGTGAGGAGACCATCACTCCAGGGATGCCTTTAGTCTGGATGTTAGGGTGGAGGAGGCATTTAAAGTCATCTTTTAATCTGAAAAATACTAGAAGTGTTTTTTTTTTCTTGACGAATTTATATAGGTTTTATTTCCTAGGTCACCTTGTCCCAATAGCCTCTTCATTTTTACTAAAAATACTTGTATATTTGTTAAAATTCAACTGCCAATTGCAGTCAATATTCTAACAGTTTTTGGACAATGTCTGGTTCAATGCATTCCTGAGGGTGTGAATGTTAAGGAGACACAGTCCATCCTCTAAAAGGGCACATAATTTAGGAAAGTGTTGCCCAGTATTGGAGGACCACCAGTGTCAGAACCACCAAATGTGCCCTTTAATTCTGATTCCCATATCTTGTCCATAAACTCTGATCCAGTAGAGCTGGGATCCCAGAAATCTGCACTCATGAATATCCCTCCAGTTGATCCAGATACATGAGAACCAATGTTGAAGACAACAGGATTTAGTAACGTGTGCTGTATAGTTCATTTAATCCTGCAGACAGTGCTCAAAGGTGGGTATTATTATGTCAGCTTTAAAGATTATCTGACTGTTGCTGAGAAAGAACACATGAATTGTCTGAAGGTATTCAGTTAGGACGTGCCAGTGCAAGATTCAAACGCAGGTGTGTTTCAGACAAACTACTAATATAAAATAAAGAAGAATGAAATAGAATGAAAGCCAGTGGCCATGGGACCACAAAGGAAGGGTAACTTTATTCTGGTGAGGAGGCCAGCATGGATTTTGCCAAGCTGATGAGAAGTGAACCAGCTGTTCCAAAGCAGAAGCATGATGGAGTAAAAGTACAGCATGTGCAACTACAAATGGACAATTAGCATGTCCTGGAGCTCCTTCAGATGTTGGCCCTGGAGCGTCCGTGATGGAGGAGATGAGCTTGGTTTTGCAGCAGGGAACTGACTCTGAAGTTTAGAGGAGATGAATAGCATGATCTGATTTATTTCTAGAAAACCTCTCTGTCTGGAAGCTTTTTGCACAGTAGATTTCAAATGAGAAGAAAAACAAGGAAAGTCAATAAAGTGGTCTATATTATAACCCAGGCTTTAGGAGATAAGTTCCTGAGTTTGGGAGTAGATAAAGTGAATAGTAAAATTTCTAGAATAATAACAATTGATGTCATCCCTAGAATTTATAATGAAAACAAAATTATTGAACTTTATATAGGTAATATATAAGCATGTAAATTCTCATTTCTACTGGGGTAAAAGTCTGATAAAACAAATGGTAGATAATTTAAAATATATATTCAATAGACCTAGAAACCTAATGGGTAATATATTATACTGCTATTTGCATTTATGATAATGCCTGGTCTACACTGAATTAGGTAAGAATCCTTTGAAAAAGAAGTTTCAGAAAATGGGTAGGGTTATTCAGCCTCAAGGTACTTTCAGAATAAGAAGTTGGCATACATGTCTTCCTTTGGTTTTACTTCGATGCCAAAGATTTTCAAATTCCATTCATTTATTCAGTAGTTACAATCTGCACAGTATTACATGGCAGCTGTGGGAGATCTAAATAGTGATAAGACCTGTATTCAAGTAGGTCACAATCAAAAGGAATATAAGTAAATTCACAGCCAAAGGATTTAGGTATGGATGACAATATCAGTAGTCCCCTAAAGAAAAATCTATAGAAGTCCTATTGAATATCTTATATAGTAAAAGCCTAATATGCTAAGTGACCGGTCATCCCGCAGCCATTCAACCAATCAAAGTGTAATATGCTAATGATATGCTAAGGCCACTCAACTGCTTGTTATGACAAACACTGACCACCAGGGGGCAGACAGTCAACTGGTCGACTAGTCACTATGGTATGCACTGACCACCAGGGGCCAAAGAGTCAACCTGTCCACCAGTGTCTATATCATGGACTGACCACCAGGGGGGCAGATGCTCCAAGCGCTAGGTTAGCTTACTGCTGGGGTCTGGCTTATTAGGCCTGAGTGAGATGGGCCGGACACGCCCTGGAGTCCTCCTGGAGTCCCTCCCTGGCTGGTCAACTTCCAGCATCCCTCCCCAGCCCTGATTGTGCACCGGTGGGATCCCTTGGCCTGGCCTGCATCCTCTCACGATCCAGGACCCCTCAGGGGATGTCTGAGAGCTGGTTTCAGCCTGACGGCAGAACAACCAATCAATTGATGTGCACTGACCACCAGGGGACAGATGCTCAACACAGGAGCTTCCCCTTGGTGGTCAGTGTGCTCCCACAGGGGGAGCACTGCTCAGCCAGAAGCTGGGCTCATGGCTGACAAGCGCAGAAGTGGTGACAGAAGCTTCTCCTGCCTCCACGGCAGTGCTAAGGATATCTGACTGATGGCTTAGGGAGTGGGCCTAAGCTGGCAGTTGGACATCCCCCAATGGCTCCCAGACTGTGAGAGGGCACAGGCCGGGTTGAGGGAACCCCCCCACTCCCCAGTGCACAAATTTCGTGTACCAGGCCTCTAGTTTTAAATGTATGTAGATGATTATTAGGGTATCTGTGGCCTGTCATTTTTGGGAGAGGAGATATACTTGGTGTCAGTATAATTACCCATTTCTTTCTTCATTATAGTGTAACCCCCAAGAGAGCAGGAACAGGAACTAGGTCAGTGTTATTTTCTCTGCACGTTGCCTAGCCCAGCATCCTATCCACACTGCCAGCTTTTAGTTAATTTTAATAATGGTAATGAGAGACACTGCTTTGTACCATTGGATCTATTTCGTCAAGACTATACAAATCCACTGTTTAAGAGCTGGCTCTTTTGACTTAACACATGGCCTGTCCTTGCTTTCCAGGCCTTCTACAATTATCATGTCTTGGAGCTCCTTCACATGCTGGTGACAGGAGGGATAAGCTCCCACATGGAACAACATTTGGATAAGGAAATGGTATGCGGGTCTTCTAACAGCTGCTCTTCGTTGTTGTCCAGAAGGAAGCGCTGTAAGCTGGGGCTTCTGTCCTTAAACCAAACCATTTTGTCGGATATTAACGTGAGTTTCCTGCTTCTTTTTGTCTCTGAATTTATGAAAGTGGTCTAGGCTACTTGGGTCCGTAGATAGCTTATAGCACAGAAATAATAACAATAACAACAACAAATTAATACAACTCATATTCAAAGAGTATTGTACAATTTTCAGTGCATTTTCACCCGTGTCATATTTGTTTCAACAATGCCAGGAGGTGGGTAAAGCAGTTGTTATTATCCCCATCTCCCAGATAAAAAAAATCCAAGTCTTCAGGAAGCATCAGAGAGGTCCAATAACTTGTACTTTGACAAGGGTATCAATAATAATTGTAACAGCTAATATTTACTAAGCATTCCTCCTGTGTCTGACTGCTTTTGTCCCCCAACTTAATCTGTCTGAGGATTTGCATGGTAAACATTGTTACTAGTCCCACTGCATAGATCAAAAAGCTAAGGGACAGGGAAACAAATGCTCACCTGAGACCATTGTCTACCAGTGACAAGCAGGGGTGCCTCTAGGCAACCTGACCCAGCTCTTCCCCCTCTCCCTCTACCTGAAACACTAAAGAAATCTGATCAGGTCAGTGGAAATCAGAAAACTGATTGGGCTAGCCAGCAGAAAAGGCTTGAGTTTTGTTAGCCCACTGGCCTGGTGAACAGTAGGCTGGGAGCAGATAACCTTTCTGGCGGACTCCAGTGGAGCACCTGGCATTTGGGGCTCAGAGTCAAGTGCAGCCTGGGAGTGAGTAATCTATTGATCAGTGCGGTGCTTTTGGATTTAGTTTGCATTGACACTGAATTCAGCTCTGCAGTGTAACTGTGGGGCAGGCCTTCATAAAGACACGTCTTTTGTTGGTTCAGAAGACATCAGCAGAATCCCCTTCACAAGAGGCAGTCTCTTCCAAGCCTCTGTGCCTGATATGTCTCAACAGATATGGGCTCTGTGCATCTGACTTCCAGGTGCAAACAACATTCCAGAGTTTCTTCAATAGAGTCCAGTCCTTTGTCCTCTTGTGGTCCTGGGTTCCTCACCAAAGGTTGACTTGTGAGTGATTAAATGCCCAGGACAACAGGCACTGGCAATTTCGTCAGTATCAGAGGTGACCGTGGACTGGTCAACACATGTCTTTCTTTCTCCACTTAGGTCTTGCCCTCACCTTGACCTTTGCTCTGGGGAGAACTGAAAGACTGCTCTCTTTTTTTACTTCACTGAACCCATTAGCTGCTGCTTTTGAGCCTGCTATGCACTTGCAGAGCCTTTGTTGGCTGTACCCTGAGAGCAGTGTCAAGAGCAGTGCTTGGAGCTATAATCTGTTGTAGAGTGGGATAAGAAGATCACTCCCTGGAGGTCATTTAACACCCTATTTGTGTGCCCTGAAAATGGAATGTTCCAACCTGTTGTTCATTGTTACTTCCTAATGGTTACCAAAATCACAGTGGTACTAAAGAGGAGCATAAGGACTTGCCACACCACACCAGACACTCTTGAAAGACCAGAGTGATAAACACAATCACTGGGATTAGATGCTCAAAACTAATTATTAGCTTCACTTCCGAGCCACTTGATGCTGCCACCATATAGATGTTAGGAGTGATGTCCAGGTCTTCCAAACCCTACAAGTAAAGGCAAATGACACTCCAGTAGGGCTTGTCATTGCTTCATTAAAGTGCCAATAGACATGTTTTTTCTCTTCTCTCCCCAGCCAAAAAAGACCTTTGGGCAAGTTTTCTGTGGCTTGTTGAATAATTTTGGAATCCTATGCCTTGGCCTGTACCGCCTGATAGATGACAAGGAGCACAATCCGGAGCACAAAAGGGGAGTATGCTAGTTTGGAAAGTGCTAGCTGCACATCCAAGCATAAACGCCAAAGCTGCTTTATTCAATGTGAAAGAGAGGTCCAGAATTCAGAATACCACAGTTGCAAAGAAGGGTGCAAGGAAGTAGATTATGATGGTGTAGGAATAAGGAAGAATGCATGTAAATGACATGAATAAATCCTGGTAATTATGATCTAATATAAGCCATGTCACAATGGCATCTCTGTCCCTAGTGAAAACTGAAATGTAGACCCAGATTTTGAATCCGGTTATTTTTTCTGTGTTTTTGTTTTGTTTTGTTTTGTAACTTAACCCATCCTTGACTATGTAATTTTTTAAAGCTAAATGCCACTATTCACATTGGAAAGATTTACTTATTTTATGCTGGATTCTTCAGGTAAATATTTACTGAGTGCCTCATTTCCAGCCACTGTGCTTCGTACATATTAATTATGGAAATTATATATTCAAATTTAAGGTTAAGGAAAGATCAATCTGACAACAATGGGGAAGATACAGGAAATGTACATAGAAGACAGGAGGAGAAAAGAGAGTATACAACAGTATACAACAACACAGTAATGTAGGTCAGATCTAAGATTCACACAGTGGGAATGGATAGGAGTTCATAGAGGAGGAAAAATTAAAAATATTAGAGTGGAAATAGATTGATAGAAACTCGTTCAGGAAGAAGGGGAAAGCAGCCAAAAATGGAGTAGTATTGAATTGAAGGAAAGATTATCTCTCTGTTCATAGGAGAAAAGAAGGAAAAGAATGGATGCCAAGCAAATTTAGCTATAGATGATGTGGTGTACTTAAGGGGATCTTTAATGTAACACTAGGGTTTCTCAGTAAAGTACAGGGATAGCCATTGCTGAGAGGAAAGATAGAGGAGGAAGTATTACCGGGAGTGGAGAAATAGGTAAGAGTTTAGATTAACTATGAGAGGAATGGTAGGAGAGGTTTACTGTGGATCTGTAGAAGCAATTGTAGACTGTAATGTGAAAGGACAAAGGATTATCAGTCTTGATGAAGTTAAAGGGTAGATGTACTCAGCATGGGATGAGAGTGAAAGAGTGATAGGAAGTTACTGTCGGACAGTAATATATTGAAGCATAAGATTTTAGAGGTGAGACATGTCAGGATATTATAATATCCAATGTGTGTCCAGGAAAGTGTGCTTTGGAGATAAAGATCACGTGTAGTGCAAGTCAAAGAAATATGACTGTATGTTGGATTTGTAAACCACATAGACACTAGAGGTGTGTGAGATGATGGAGACACTAGAGCTTGAGGTGTCCCAAGTGCCAAAGGCCTAAATCAAAATGTAGGACTATATATGACACTGGTGAATCAAGACAGAGGGTGATAGGACTGTAGAGCCATAACCACAAAGATGGTGAGGGGGCAGTGATGTTCTGGAAGCAGCACTGGGGAGAATGAATAATGTGTAAATCTCTTTCTCTCTCTCTCTCTCGCTCTCTCTCTCTCTCTCTCTCTCTCTCTGTCTGTCTCTCTCTCCCTTCCAGCCCTCCCTCTCTCTGCCTGAACTCCATCCCCTCCCCTGACACCTCTGGCAAACCTGTGGCACATGGTAATTGGGAGAATATGGTATCCATACCTGAGAGAACCTCAGGGAAGGAAATGAGATTTCTGTTTTATAGGGAGTATGTGATTATAGTTGGCCTTGTTTAGGATATTATAGAGGTTACAGGGGATTCAGTGGAAAAGATAAAAGTGGGAAGATTATTGAGTAAAAGAAAGTCAACCTTGAATTGAGATTGGTGTTTGGGAAAGGAGAGGTGATCACCTGGGGTGGCAATGAAGACACACAGGATGAAAGTCATGAAAGGTTATCCTGGCTCGGCA